ATTAAGGCGTTGATTTTGCTGTCATCTATGCCCGAGTCTTGGGATACTGTTGTTGCTGCAATTAGTAGTTCTCGTGGGTCTGAGAAGCTGAGGTTCGATGAAATCCGTGATGTTGTTCTTAGCGAAAGTATTCGCAAGAGAGAAATGGGTGATTCATCGGGTAGTGCTCTCAGCGTTGACCGAAGGGGTAGAAGCAAGTTCAAGGGCCAACATCAACATGGCGATCAAAATCAAAGAATCGAGGCAAGTCTCCGAATAGATCCAATATAACTTGTTGGAATTGTGGAGACAAAGGGTACTTTAAGGCAGATTGTAAGAAGCCAAAGAAGAAGCAGAATCAGAAATCTGGAGATGACGGTGATTCTGTAAATTCAGCAGAGGATATTGGGGATGCTCTAATCCTCAGTGTGGACAGCCCAGTTGAATCCTGGATTTTGGATTCTGGTGCATCCTTCCATTCGTCACCAAGCAAGGAGTTGTTCCAAAATTTCAAATCTGGAAATTTTGGGAAGGTGTATCTTGCTGATAACAAGGCCTTGGTGATTGAAGGGAAAGGAGATGTCTCCATAAAAACACCAACGGGAAATCAATGGACATTGAAAGATGTCAGATATATTCCTGGTCTCAAGAAGAATCTGATCTCTATTGGTCAGTTGGATAACACGGGCTATGCAGCAGAGTTTGGGAAAGGTTCTTGGAAGATTGTGAAAGGTGCTATGGTTGTAGCACGAGGCACAAAATTTGGAACTTTGTACACCACTGCAGGGTGTATTAACATGGCTGCTGATGCTGATGGTGTTTCCAGTTCAAGTCTGTGGCATGATAGACTTGGACATATGAGTGTTAAAGGAATGAAGATGCTGGCTGCAAAAGGAGCATTGGAGGGCTTGACATCTGTTGATATGGGTCTTTGTGAGAGTTGTGTTATGGGCAAACAGAAACGAGTCAGCTTCACGAAGACGCCAAGAGAGCCGAAGAAAGTACGGTTGGAGATGGTCCATACTGATGTTTGGGGACCATCTCCAGTCGCATCACTTGGAAGATCAAGATTTTATGTCACCTTCATTGATGATTTCAGCAGGAAGGTATGGGTTTACTTCTTGAAACATAAGTCCGATGT